TCGTGCACCCCATATGAGGAGGGCGGCTGGAAAGGTTTAGCGGGGCGCTCTGGAGCGTGGTCGTGGTGTAGCTCTCCGGAGAGGAGCTGCTGCGGAGTCCATGTGTGTGTGTGTCTCCCGGACACGGTGCGCCACGGCTGTGTGACAATGCTGTTCTGTATGGCCAGGGCCCGGGCGCTCTGGTCCCCATCCCGCTCCAGGCGCGGCAGGCGCGCGCGCGGGCTCGCCGCCCCGCTCGCCACCAACGGTATGGCGCAAGGAGATTTGATAGCTGTGTGCGTCGCAAAGCAGAGCGGGCCGGGCTGGGCCGGGCCGGGCAGGGCAGGGCCGAGCAGGGCCTGGCCGGGATTGGAATGGAATGAGAGGGAATAGGACGGCTGACGTACGCTAATGTCGCAACAGGGCGCTGATCTTGGCGGCGCAGCGGCGGCACAACAAAACAGATACTATATTGTGAGCGCCGTGCCGGTGCACTGCGCGCGACTGCCACCGACGAAATGGGTGGGGTAGCCGGGGTACTTGGTGTAGGAGCGCGCGCGACCGCCCCGCCCCGCCACGCCCCACCACGCCCCACCACGCCCGGCGCAACGGAGATCGTAAAAGCTACCGAAATAGTGCCTGCGGGAGTTGATGATGGACTGGGCGTTGGCCTGCAGGCGGGTGGTAACATGATGGCCTCGACCTGCACCTCACCGACTCACCGTCTGCTCTTGTTCCTCCAGGTCGCCGTCGTCCTCCCCGCGAGGCAGCCCCGGCTCTACAGACGGCGCCGGCGACGTGCTGTCCAGGACTTACCGCATCTGCCGCGGCGACCACCACCGGGACTCGGCGGCCTCCACGGCGACCCGCCGGCATCCTGACGCCGCGCCGCGCACGGGTCTCCGCCACGGCCTCCACGACCACCTGAGCCGCCTGTCCACCGCGTCGACCGGTGAGGACGCGTCCATGAAAGTAAAAGTGAAAAGGCCCTTGCGTATCACCGCTAACTTACCCTTCATCCTCAGCGGGGACAAGCGTGGACAGCCCCAGATCTTTCCAGCGGGTGGCGGCGGGATCGCGCCCAGGTCGCTATTCTGTCCGAGAGGACAGCGGCGGCAGCACGGGGGACAGCGGTGGTAGCAGGGACAGCGGGGCGGGTGGCAGCTCCCCGAGAGAGGGCGGCCCGGAACCCGGAGAGGACTCTCCAGAGGAGGATGAGCTCCTGGCCACCTTGTCAAGTCTCCGACAGGTAATGTTACACGGGTTCTCTACCACCAACAGAGTAATACGCTCTAAATTCACAGTTCATCGCTGAGAACCCCACTCCAATAACTCAAAATTTCGTGGGTGAATTAATGACAACATCAGAACACAAGTGAGGCCTCACTTGTGTTCCCGGAAGTGAGGCCTCACTTGTGTTCCCGGGAACTCTTCTTGACGCTGTTTATGTTCTGCAGGGCCTCCTGCTGCGACGAGAGCAGATGGGGCAGCTGGAGATGGGGACCGCGTCGCCTTCCTGAGACTCGGACGGAGATGCTGCATGTCTTGTTCGCACTCCGAGCGCGACGACGACGCCGGACGCCGTGGCGCCTGACTGGGCGTGATTTGTCTCCCTTTCCTCGGGCCCCGCCCGCGCCCTCTAACACCGTCTTCGCGTGAGACTCGGCAGTACTTGTTCTCGCGCTCGTACTACTTACAAACCGAATGACAAGGCTGCTGGCCAATGTCTCTAGTTTCCTCGCTCCGATTAGCCTGATGTGAGGCCGTTCCAGCCGTGCAGCTCTGCTTCCGACAATGTTATCCACGCTGCTTCCTCGGCACCAACAACAACGCGGATCTGCTCTACAGTGGCCGATGTCAAATCTGGCCTCTTTTGCTTGGGCCCTGATGTGTTTCTGTTTTTTGTTACAATAAAGTTTTTACTCTCTCCGACTGGTTGTTATGAATTTGAATTTATGGAACCCACCCTTAAACAGCACCCACAAACCTTTGCGTGTTCTCCAGTTTAAATACAGTCATCTAACGTTTTTCTTTCCGTCAGGGTTTGAGGACATAAAGCAGCAACATGGCTGGCATCCGTCTCGACGACTTCCTCAGCAAGAAGAAAGAGGTGGCGCAGGTCCTGGACCTGTCCAAGTCGATCGCACGCACCAAGGAGGACCTGAAAAAGCTCCT